CCCCTGCCCGGGGCCCCACCAGGACCCAGGCTCACCTCCACGGAATAGGAAAGCTGAGCACTCTCGTTCTTATTAATGCGAGAAAAGAGGTCCTCGCAGAGCTGGAAGAGGACACAGAGAAGCAGCTGTTCCCGGCGCCCCTGCTGGGCCCCGGCCCGAGTGGCTCTGTTTAACCCCCACCACAGCCCTGAGGGGGCGGGTGTTCCCATTTCACAGATGGGGAAGCAACCTCCCAGGGGTTCATGCTTGCCCAGCGTCACCAACTACCACGTGGTGAGCCAGGAAGCAAACGCCGGCACCCTGACATCAGAGCCCATGGGCAAGGCCACTGTGCGGCACGGTCAGGGAGAATTACGGTCAGCTCCCGGTTATCCACATCTGCTTTCTCTACGGTCCGCACCCTGACTACGGTAGGCACGTCCGCGGGGAGCCGCGCTCACAGACGAGGTAAAACCGCAACAAGCGGCAGCACCAGGGTTCAGACCCAGGATTCTCCAGCAGCAAGGCTCTGGCTCCAGCTTTGCTGCTTCCGGTGGGGGCAGAGACCCCTCCCCACGGGGCCCCACGTAGCTGCCCGCCCCTCCCCCCTCACATTCCCCACCAGCACAGCCTCAGAGCCCGTGGCTCCATAGCCCGTGGGCCCTTCCTGCCCCAGGGAGCAGCTGAGCTGCTCTGCCCTGGCCGCCCCGCCAGGTCATGGGCGTGTACCTGGGGCACGATGCCCTGCTGCCCCGGCTCCTGACGCCCCATCATGGTGTACGACTTCCCAGCCCCGGTCTGCCCGTACGCAAAGATGCACACGTTGTAGCCTTCGAAGGCATGGAGCAACATCTCTTCTCCGATGTCCCGATACACCTGCTGCTGAGATGCAAACTGGGGGTCCTCGGCCTAGTGCAGCAGAGACAGAGCAGGAGCCCTACGTGACTCCGTCCTCAGGGTCTGGGTCCCGAGAGTCTTGTCCCCATCACTGCTGATCACCCAAAAGCCCTATGTGCCCTGAGCAAACCCCACGCATGGTTCTACTCTCCCGAGACAGGATCCTGTACGGTCTCCTGCCAGACCTAATCACCCCGAGGGATTCTCCCTCCCTGCATCCTGGTCCCAGTCACATGCCCTAAGGGTCCTACTCACCCCCCCCTTGGGGTCCTGGTCCTCCCATCCCGGTCCCTATTACCCCAAATATAAAACCTGCCCTATTTCCCAGCAATGCCCCCTCCCCAGTGCCTAAACCCCTGTTCCTCATTGCTGAGCTCTCCCTTCACCCCAGCAACCTCACCGAAGTGTGTGACCAGTACGAGTAGTCAAAGGTAAAGCTTTTGGGGGCATCTTTGCTCTGTTTGGGGTTGACGATGGCTGACGGGGCAGGAGAAGGAAAGACAGGAAGGCCAAGGTCAGGTACTCCCGACCTCTGCCCATTCCCCCCCGTTGTGGGAATCCAGGCATCCCACTCCCCACCTCTGTCCTAGTTCATCTCTCCCCTTTAATACTCCCCACCCCCTCCAGCCACACGGCTAATTTTGGCTTCTCAGGACCCGCCCCCCCCACCAGGCTGCCTCCCCGATTGGGCAATGGAGGGCTCCAGGCCAACATTCCCCCTCCCAGGGACTGGGAACGTGGAAAGGCCAGCCTGCCCCCACCCTGCCCCCACCCTTCCGACTAGCACCTGCTCCGCACCCAGCTCAGTCCTCCTCCTGGTTCGGCCCGGCCGGCCAGGCCAGCGTGGTGGGCCCGCCTGCCCCGCCTGTGCCCAGCCAGGCCCCTGGGACTCACTCACAGGTGGTGCTGCCCTGCATGCTGACCACACACTTGGCATCCTGGCTGCTCTCACGGGCGTTGAAGGGCCGAACCCTCACGGCCACTTTCACCGAGGCACCAGCCATGGCTCCCGAGACTCTCAGCCTCCTCAGCTGAAGGACAGAGACAGAAGAGGTGGTCAGAGCCCGCTGGGGGGACCCAGACATTGCCTCGTGTCTTCTCCCAGGATCCAGCGTCTCCACCCCCTTCCCCAGCTCCCCAGCCCCTCCAGGACCTAGCTCCTGGCCCTCTGGCCTTCCTCCCAAATGTCACTCTCCTCAGCGACTCCCAGTGGTGTTCCTGCCTCTCTCCCCGGCCATATCCCAGCTCGCAGGGACCTGGGCCATCATCCCAGTTACCTGGCGTCCTGGCCCCAGACCAGGGGGGCTGTATCAGCTCTGGCTGCCACCGGCCCTCGTAGGGGAAGCCCCATCCTACCCTTGGGGCCTGGCCACGCCAGCTGGGGCTGTGGGGGAAACCCTGGTTGTGGGGGAAGAGTGGTTAGGAGGCACCTGGGGCTCCAGAGGTGGGTCGGGGTTCTGCGGCTGGAGGGCAGGGGCAGGGGGCAAGGTTAGGAGACGGGAGGACTGCGGTCCCTCCCAAGTGGCTGAAAGCAATGTGAATCCAAGGACAGGGACCGTGATATTTTTATTCCTCGTCACTCATGAGTGTACTGGACACCCAGATAGAGAAGAGAGAGAGAGGCTGGACAGAAGACAGTTCAGAGAGAGAAACGCAGAGGCAGAGACACCGGCGGTGACAGGAAGAGGGGCAGAAGAATGACAGAAAGTCACAGGCACTGAGAAAGAGAGAGATCCAAGACAGGAGGAGGCAAGATCCAGGTCATGCTATGGAGGAAACGAGGGAAGGAGAAGAGGAAGGAGACACAGAAGATCACAGACACAGAAATCGTAGACAGGGAGGGCACCTCTGGGGCGACAGCACAAAGTGGGAGCCCAGGACAGACAGGAGAGAAAACCCCAAACATAAAACCTGCCCTAAAATTCCCCCACAGTGCCAGCCAAGAAGTAGAAATCTAGAGCCCACAGCCTCCACACAGGAAGGAACCGCCAGTGGCAAAGTTCAAGGGCTGGAGGGACAGCCCAGGCCTGGGATCCACGGGCAGCCCGTGGGCCCCAAACCCCTCGCCCAGCCCCCAGCACTTCCTCCTCAGGATCCTGGACAATGGGCAGGGGAGGGTGGGGTCATCCTGTATCCCTCACACCAACCCCCAGGGCTCCTCTGTTGGGGGCTCCCTGCGAAATACCTGTGACTTCACTGGGGGGCGGGAAAGCACCGGGGTCGCCCCAAAAGGAAGCAGGCAGGTCCCAGCCCCAACCTGGGCCAGCACTATGGCGTCCACTGCCCGGGGGAAGGTGCCAGGCTGGAGCCCAGGAATGTGGGTGCCCCAGTGCTCACACCCTGGGAGGAGAGGCTGAGCAGCCCACGCCCACGGGCAGGAGGGTGGAGGCCAGCGAAGGCAGACGGGGATGCTGGGGCCCCTTCTGTGGCCCCACAGGACCAAACGGCCTGTCCTGCTGGGCCTCACCTCCGCAGCCTTCCTGGGCAGGGCACGGGAAGGGGACAGGGCTGGTGCGTCCCAGGACAGGAAGGGAGGAGCTCAGATTACAGAGGCTGTGTCAGGAAGCACAGCGCCGACCCCCCAGACCCTGCCCGGGGCAGGGGCCACGACGGGGAAACGCCGTGGTCACGCCGTCGCGGCTCATGGGGCACGGAAGAGGCTGGCGCGGCCGAGGCTCGGCCGGGGGCACCTGCCCCCAGCCCGCCCGGTGATCCCGGCGCGGACCCCGGTCCCGGCCTGTGCCGGCGGCCATGCGGACCCGGTGTTCCCTCCCGGCCGGCCG